ACCGAGAACTTGCTATACCGTAGCGAAACACGGCAAGAAAAACTATCAACAGATAGCACGGGAGCGCGAGCCAGCCCGTGACACCTCGGTCGGTGACCCGAGACAGACTGCTTTGACAATAGCCAAATGCCAAATTCGGGAACTAATCATTCTGATTGGTCGAGAGCCTTATAACCGCCCATCTCCAGCGGGGCGCCGGTGTTTCACCCGGGCGTCTGCCGGTCCGTGGAGACGTCTCCGTCGGGCACTCTCCTCTGCCGGGCAACTCGGTACGTCGAGACTATCTCCCCACGGCAGATTCGAGCACCTCGACCTCAACTAAACAATAACGAAATCTTACGAGAGCCTTGACATAACTGTACGAATCAACCCGAGAGCGTAGCTTCTGAGCAGGGTGGCGACCCGAAGGGAACCAGAAATCGAGAACGTTATCTGTATCGGTAACCGGAGCCGCCTTGGGACCGTGATTCGAAAAATCACGGCACAAAACAAATAATACCATAACAAAAACGTAGCTATATAAAATGATTTTTATGCTCCATAAAGATATTGCATAACCGCGACATGGCAATAATGCATGAACATTCGTGGGTAACAAAGCCATGTGAGTATACACGAGTATAATCCGTGCCTACTGCTTCGAATACGAAAATATATATATATAAAGCATGAGAGAGGGGCGGGGGGGGGCAGGTGAGAAGCATAGTGAATCGTGTTTTCTGTTGCCCTTTGCTTACTGACACGATAAATAATCTAAACTATAACTCGATTTAAAGGAGAAACAAGACACGTGGGCACCGGAACAATACGTTTGATGGACAATACTTATTAGTCCGTGAGATGGGAGAGCTGAGAAGACTCCGTGTTTTAACTTTTCTTGCTTCTTCACTCCTGCGCGCGGCCCTGCCATGTTGGCCATTGTACACGTTCAGGGTATGAAGACAGGCAGACGGCGGCCGCCTACAAGCCGGACAAGGTGCCAGCATACTGCCTACTACCGACATACTCAGGAACGCCTTGAGAGACTTCCATGGCCTCGTCCAAGCTACGGAAGTGCAAAGTATCGGCTTCATTTTTATAACCGTCGGAGAATCGGCTGACTGAAACATAGATTGAAACGTTACGATTGCGCTCTATAAAGAAGATTGAAGAAATATATCGTTCGATCAGAAGTACGTCAACTCGCGAAAAAAGAAAGGCGCGATTGATTGCGAATTGACACAATGTGAAATGTCCAGTCGTCGCACAAAGTAGAATAAGCCTGGGACATTGTTGCTCGTGTTACTCGGGCATTATTGTCGTTGTCATGGTAACAGAGAAGCCAACGTTTACTTGGCATCTCACGAAGTAGCCGAGAGACCGCAGAGGAACGCTGGACAGGGTGTCAGGGCTGTCTCTGCTCCTGGAATGTCGCTAACAAATTCACTCGTAGATAGTAGAGTAGAGTAGAGAAGGGGAGAGAGGAGAATGGAGCATCCCGAGTTGAAGGTATACACGTCGAAACGTGAACCCTAGGCACATCTTAAAGCGCCTTTATAGAGCCATAACGGGCAACGAGTAGCCAAGGACGGAGCCAGCACTTGTTACTGGTTACTGGGGGGACTGAATACCCTGGAATCAAGTGACGGCGGGATGGGGAGGGAGGAGGAGATCGGTGTCGGGGACTAAACTAGGATTACAAATTCCCATGATCGCGAAGTTGTTCGACCACTCTGCCAAGAGGTTGCCGCTTTTATGGGTAGAGGCGTGCATGGACAACCTGACGCGAGTGTATATGTGCTCTGGGCCTTTTGGTACCGGGCGGTGAATCATGAATAAATTTTAACGAGATTATAAGAGAGCGAGGCGCTCAGCTCCAGATACCAATGCTAATAAATCAAGTTCCCTAATCAGACCGCTTCATCGGGCCCACTTTTCGGTAAATTATGAGAAACGATAATGCCCCGCGTGTAACCCCTGGCCCGGGCGCCGATTAAAGTCAATCCGACAATTCTCAAATGGCATGTGAGTCGTGAATCACGAATCACTAAGGTATTTAAGAAATCAAAGAACCTTCGAACCTTCCTTCAGAACGAATCGAATCATCCCGACGACGATCCGACGATCCGACGATCCTCCTGTGTGGTCCCACCTTGAGCCTGGAATAGCTCCTTCGCTCCTTAATCGGTAGTTAGAAGTCATTTAGCCTAATCTAACTCCAGAGCGTGACTCTAACTTAATAAATAACATTAATTAACACCAATAAATCAGCGCCCGGCTCATTCTCACTTAACACTTGCCGGTTACGGTTCTTAACGCGATGCACTCGGCTCACGAATTCCAAAGATTTCAGGCATCTTAAGTGCACAATTGCCTCGATCCACGAGATCTATCGGTAATACCGAATTCCCACGAATTCAGACAGATCCACCATCGAGAAACACAGGATGTGGTGACTCGGAGACATTCAAGAAACATCTCAAGAAAGATGCTGGACCCGAGGAGACGCGGAGACGCGGAGACGCGCTGGCTCCACTTAAAATCTTGCTTCGAAAGATTTAATTTTACCCTTCGATCGGTTGTCCCGCAAATTTTCGGCTACAGTGCCCGTGACTCTTTTGACTCTGATCGTCTTTTTATTCACGCTCCAGTGACTCCTCGGTGTCACTATTTGCGTGATAGATGTATCGATAAGCTCTATGTACTCTTCTGACACAAATATAGAAACGACTGTCTTCCTGGCGATACTATTTCGGTAACGCGACTATTCACCTTGTGTTCCTCTAGTTGTTTCCAGTGTGCGAGAGAGTCTGAGTCTGAATGAGAGAGAGAGAGAGAGAGAGAGAGAGAGAGAGAGAGAGAGAGAGAGAGAGAGAGAGAGAGAAGGGGCCTGAATGAGAAGGATAGACAAATACTCGTAACACAGGATGCAGGGGTGGCATCAACGAGCCGCCGGCTTAACGTAAAAGAGTAAAAACTGTTGTGACAATCTAGTGGTCGCTGTCTAAAGTTGCTTGGCTCGGAAGGAGAGCCGATTCTCCGCCATACGAGCCAACGTGGCCGCCGGCGCTCGTAAAGAATAAAGAAAAACTGAGGCACGTCGACCCTTCAAGTAACAAATGATGTTATTGTAAGACCTAGATTGCTCTCTGCGTAAGAAATGAGCCAGTTAGACTGTCAAGTGCTGCCGGAAAATAGATTCGTTTTGTCTATCGGGATATTCACGAGAGCCAGACCTCAAATTCTAGGGTTCGATCAAAATCAATCGATCGACACGCAAGTAGAAATGACATTGCGTTAGTGATTTAGATTATAAAAGAGGCCGTTCGAGGTATAAGAGCGCAAAATCATTATCCCTTAATCGCGGATTGAATGAAAAAGGGTATATCGTGTAGCGCGAACGATGCGCGGAAATAAATATGATGGTTGTGCAAAGGAGTAGTGGTGGGTTACGAGAGGACTTGGACTTTCTCACTGTACCGATGCTCCTTTAGTTCGGTGATCCCTTCCATTTTTGAGAGCCACTGTGGATAATTGGGACCGCACCCACGAATCCAACGGTCAGGTCGACTGTTGCGCTCGTTCCTCTCATGTTTTCTCTGTAGGTGCTTATACACAGGCACAGTCAGAGAAATCGAATGCCTCTGACACAGACCGCCGCACACGCACACGCAGACGCACACGCAGACGCACACGCAGACGCAGACTGCTGCGATGTCCCACTCCCCCGTACCCGAGGGGCCCATTCACACGGAGCATGATGCTGCGAGGGACCGGGAGGGCCCAATCTCGATGCATCATCGGCATTGTCAGCCGCTCACCAAGCAGATTTATTAACCTAAACCCTTGGACGTTCTACATACATATATCGCGCACTACCTTCCATCCCACCCTCGAATTTGTATCACAAATTGCCGAACAGATCAGAAATGAGACTAAGAAAAATGATGGGCCCTGAAATAAAGCGTGCGTGAATTGCCGGACAACCAGTTTCACGACGCTGACTCGAACCAGTTCGCTTTCGACTTGCAACCAGTGACCAATCGGGGTGCGGTTCCTTTTCTTATTTTTCCTGGTAATAAGGTAAAGACGGTAGCGCCACTTGTGCCGAGACCTAACAATGATGAAACCTA